TAAGGTCCTTTGCAGCCCAAACCATTCTGTGATTCTATATGGAATGTAGTTTGTACTGGAGCTCTCTTAAAGAACAGCCTGTGCACTGCTGCAGACAAGAGTGGCAAGCAGAAAGCTGGCTGGAACGTGGCTGCCTTTGAAATGCTGCTTCCCTAATCATCCATCCTGCTTCCTATCCACAGGTGGCCGTCCGCAATGTACCGCTCAGCGGCTCCATTAGCCGCGTTGTGGTCCAGCTTCCTCATGTTTTTCGGAGGCTAGAAGCTGAAAGTTTGACTTCTGTCATAGATACAAGGTACTCTGTGTTCCAGACTATGTTGCTGTGCCCTAATGACTGCAATTTCAGATTTAGTTGGGCATACTGTTTCCTGCAGGGCACAGTGTGATTGCAGCATAGAAGTATGCCTTCATTAGTGTTCAGATGCAGGCAAGGTCCTGCCCAGGGAAGACTGATCTTCTCCTTGCCAAAAGCACTGGAGCATAGGGCTTAGGAGAGGAATACCAGGCTCTACCATAACTGTGTAGTACTGATAAAGCCTTTGCCTTTTATATTCTACACGTGTAGGAATCCCATGAAGTTAAAGGCAGCAAGCTATAGTCAAAATCTTCTATAGTCTCTTTTCCCATGATACTCCTGTTTGAGGTTATATCAGTATTGGAAAGCTAAATGTTAACTGTGCTCATAACATGCTTGTTTTCTTATCTGAGGTTCCAGTTCTTCATCGACAAGGTGTTGCCTGAGTACCGCGACGCCATCATGTCACACACTCTCATCTACGTCCCGTCGTATTTTGACTACGTGCGTCTTCGAAACTACTTCAAGAAAGAGGAGCTGAATTTTACCCACATTTGTGAATACACCAAAAAGGCTGGTGTCTGCAGAGCGAGGCGCTTCTTCCTCAAGGGAGAGAAGCAGTTCTTATTGTTCACTGAGCGCTTCCACTTCTACAAAAGGTGAGTTGTGGGTCAAGCTTTCCTCCGAGTTTTGGATGTAGAGTCTGACCTTAATCGTAGATGGGCTGTATTGCTCTATGAAACTGGTGGATTCGTATATAATAATCTCTAAGGACTTCTTTGACTGAAGTTAAGAGCTTTTCAGTTGAAAATCTGTGCGTATTGTCAGCAGTCCTTTGCAGAGACTCTCATACTTTGGTATGCACAGGGCTTTGTTCAGGAAGGTGCGTGCTGCCAAGTTCCACTGATGTCAGGCCAGGATCATATAGCGTACAAAATGGAATCGTTGTCCCTTTCGTTGTGTTCATCTGCGCCACAGTAATTACATAAGATTCTGGAAGAGGATATGTCATGGGTTTGATAACGCAGTACAGCAAGCTGAGGCCACCTGGAAAATTTGCTACATCCTGACTGGGGCTGGTTAGAAGTTCCTAATGGAACGTTTCTTTTTCTATCAGCAGAAAACGTTTCATGAAACTTGGTCTGATCAGGCTTCTGTGTCTTAAAATCCAAGCTAAAGAGGCTGAAATCTGCAGAAATTGGTGGTGGTCTGTACTCTGGAGGAAGTCGTTGTGCCTGGCAGTATTACATATCCACCCCTTAAATTCCACCTTTGTGTTAAGTTTAGCCTAAACAGGGTTTGTGGAGTTGAGCTCCAGCTGCTGTGCATTGAAGTTGACGGAAGAACTGATGCAGGACTGATGTTCAGCGCGCACATTTTGTAAAAATTAGTAGTAAACTTACTTTTGGTTTTTGTTTTCCTACTACAGGTATACAATAAAAGGCATCAGGAACCTCATTTTCTACGAGTTGCCAACATACTCCCACTTCTACAGTGAGATTTGCAATATGATGAAGGCCACAGGCAATGGAGGGGATGCCACATGGACCTGTACTGTGCTCTACTCCAAGTATGATGCTCAGAAGCTGGCTGCAGTGGTTGGCATAGAGCGCGCAGCTCAAATGCTACAGTCCAAGAAGAACGTGCACCTCTTTGTTACAGGAGAAAGTGAATAAGTGACATTGAATGGACCTGCATTCTACTCTTCGTGCACTTGCTGATGGTGTTTGTTAAGAAAGTGTTAAACTTCTTACTCCCTTTTATTAAATATTCTGTTGAAATTGTTCATACAGCATTTTGTGTTTCAGTCCTCTGACAACAAACGGAGGATGTCATTCCAGACAGCAGGATTTGGGGGTTATCTTCTGTATAGAAACAAGGTCAGTGTAGATCTGTTCTTCTTGTATATGGAAAAACTCCCTGGTCAACCAAGATTGATGCTGTGCTAAATGTTTTAATTTAAGAATCACTCTATTTTCAGGTGTAGCAAACTCATCTTCTTATATCAAAAACAACTTTTTCCTTTAATCTACGGGAAGAAATGTGCCCAGGTATTCAATGCAGCATATGTAAGGGAGGTGCAGGAGCAGCCTCTTCACCGCAGGCGCATTGTTGAATGAGAATTGAACTTGCTTCACACTTGAGTTGTGAGAATCCATGAGTGTGCTTGGGTTGGAGCTGTGGTTTTGTATTTTTCCGTGAGTGACCTAAATATCTCTGCCTCCTATTTACAGGAGCCCCTGTTTCACCAGAGATAAGTGTTTTCCAAAGGGAAACAAGGTTGAACTTGGCAGGAGAGAAACATGAGCCTGCCTGGCCCCACTAGGATCACCAAAGCAGCATTGTGGGGTACAAAAAACAGTGTGGCAGTTGCAAGTACCTGTGGTCTCCTATCTCACAAAGATGGAAAAGAGTGTGGTGCCCCTTTTCCTTCCGGGAAGCTAAGCCTAATTTAAAAGGAGCTACAAGTAGAGTAGTTTTTGTAGGCATGTGCTAGGACCGTGGGAGAGACTGTTCTGCGGAGGGGCAGGTGAGCCCAAATGCAAGAAGGGAACATCCATCCTGTGATGAGCTTTGAGGGAGTTCTTGCCTGTGAGGCTTAAGTAAATCTACCAAAGTGGAATAAACCACTTGAGTAAAGGAGGTTGGATCAGGCTTGGAGCAACCTGCTCTGGTGGAAGGCGTCCCTGCCCACGGCTGGGGGTGGGAACTGGATGAGCTTTGACCCAAACCATTCTATGAGACACGTAATTTTAGCTGGTATTTATCCTAATTTGGATTCCTGTATTTCTCAGAGGCTGTGCTCTCAGGGAGTTCCTGAGGTCCTGCAATCATGTGAGTCCCTGCAGTTTCCTGCTTTGCATTTCGAGGTAATGCTTTATGTTAATTTTATGTACCTCTGCTGTAGCACATGAGAATGAAGAGCCAGCCATGGCAAAGTTCTCCTCGTGAACATCTCTCTGCTGGACAGCAGAGACAGCAGGAGCAGCAAACAAGGAGTTTTCATGTATGGCCTAGGCTTGACGTGAGAGAACTGTGGATATGGAAACGAGCACACAAAATAGGATTAAGGAATTGTCTTTCTTCGCCGGATGGACTTAGCGCAGAGGTGAATATCTGACCTCTGAGGAAGCTAAAGTGGGATAGCTCCTTAGCGAGGTAATACTATGCAGTGCAGCCACTGTGAAGAAGGAGCAAGAGGTTAGTGCCAGAGCTTTAACTATGCAAGGGTTTTTCTGCCCTTCCCGATAGCCAAGTGCCTCGGGCAGGTTTGGTGCCTTCTCCATATCAGTACGAAGGAGTTTCTATTGCCAATGCTTCCTCCTACCCCAGTGCTGTGATGTTCCCGCTCCTCCTTTAAAAGATGTGCAAGTTTTGACACAAATGGAATGAGAAAAGATGTTAGAATAGAGATGAGGATGGAATAAGGAGAGACGACCTGGCGCTGTGCACTTGCAGCCCAGAAAGCCAATCATATGCTGGGCTGCATCAGAAGGGACGTGGAGCTGTTGGAGTGAGCTCAGGGGAGGCCACAGAGATGCTGTAAGGGCTGGAGCAGCTCTGCTCTGGAGCCAGGCTGAGAGAGCTGGGCTGGGTCAGCCTGGAGAAGAGAAGGCTCCTGAAGGGGAGACCTGAGAGCAGCTCCAGTGCCTAAAGGGGCTGCAGGAAACCTGGAAAGGGGCTTTGGACAAGGGCCTGTAGGGACAGGCCAAGAGGAGCGGCTCTAACCTGCCAGAGGGGAGACTGAGATGAGCTCTTAGGCAGAAGCTCTTCCCTGTGAGGGTGCTGAGGCGCTGGCTCAGGGTGCCCAGAGAAGCTGTGGCTGCCCCATCCCTGGCAGTGTTCAAGGCCAGGTTGGACACAGGGGCTTGGAGCAAGCTGCTCCAGTGGAAGGGGTCCCTGGCCGTGGCAGGGGGTTGAAACTGTATGAGCTTTAAGGTCCTTTCCAACCCAAACACAGCTGTGATTCTGTGATCCTATGTTAGCAAATACAACATTTATCTGTTTCTTTACCTGACAGCATGCTGTCCAGGCAACTTCTTCACAGCAGTGCACCGATGATGAGGAACTGCTCATCTTGAAGAGAGAAATCTCAAATGAAATCCTGTTCATGTTGGCATAGGTACTATACTTTCAAGGGGGGTGATGATGAAGGGGGTCTCTTAAGAATCCTTTCTTGTTGATGTTTCAAGAGACTCTCAGGGTACTGAAAATGAATCCTGTATTTTAGCTGCTGGAATGCCAGTGAGAGTGCTCTGCTGCCATCAGGCCAGCAGCTTTCCAGGCACCAGCTGCTAACGTGCCATAGTGCTGAAGCACTAACAGCTTTGGGGAATTCAAACCCCAGGGTCAAAATAAACTGGGATTAAGATGTTAAACAAGATTTATTTCTGTTCAGCATCTCCTGCTTCTCAGGAAATCCTACTAATTGATGACCAAGAGAAATACACACTTGTCTCTGTAGGAAGATTGTTCTTCCAGCTAATGAGAGCATGTTGTAACAGCTCCTTTTTTCACCAGGAAAACCTAATCAGGATAATAGGGTTGTTATGTTCTGTTGCTCCTGTCAAAGATGACAAAAAGGCAATTTTTTCTCTTTTCTTTCCCCTGGCAATGTGTTCATAAGGCAGGAGCCAGCCTGCTGCTGTATTAGAGTGGAAGAGAGGGAAAGGTGACCTGGGGACAGTCTGGCTCCAGTGCTGGGGAGCTGCTCTGGTAAGGAGGCTGTTAGTTTTGCAGCAGTCATTGGGAGACATGGGATTAATCACGTGAAGGAGAAATTGGAGCATTCCTGTTAATGACAGCAGAGTTAACAATTCCCTTACAGCTGTGCTGTCACAGGCTGTGGGGTTTCTCAGCTCTGCGTTACTCGTGCTCCCCTGGCCTCAGCCCATGGAGTTACCCCAGGGTTTGGGGCTGGTTTGGACTTGGTGTGTCTGATGAAGCAGTTTGCTTTGCAGGGGTAGGGGCATCAGAAACACATCCACAAAAGCCTGTGTGGATGTACATAGGGTCTGTGCAAAAGGGAGAGGGGTCAGAACAAATGGAGGGCTGAGGACATCCTCCCAGGGATGCTGGGTGACCACTGATCCCATAGAGAAGGTGAAGGTGCTGCTGGTACAGACAGGCACCCACAGTGGCTGAGTTGTGCCATGCAGCAGCCCAGGACAAAGCCAGAAGCCTGACTGCAAAACACTGCACGGAGTTTACAACGTGTATTACTGTAGCCAGCTCTTGTCCTGGTCAACAGGATGCTTCTGCCCACACTAGATCCAAGACGTAGTTCAGTCCCTGTGGCTTTAAATTTCATGTTCCGTGCTCAGCCTGACAGTAAAGGGTAATTAATTAGCACAGGGCTGGTTACATTTTAATTAAGCATTTGCTTCAGCTGTGCTTGGGGGATTGCTTGTTGTACCAGGGGGACTGTGAGTTGGGCTGAGACCACCAGCTCTGGGATGCATAAACAGCTCACAGGCGTGAGCTGGTAATGGGAACCACTTAGCTGAGATGCTGAATGGCCATAGCATTGAGTGGTACTCAAGAGATAAACATTTCATTATGTTTAGAGAGATGCAGTAAAGGACATGAGCAAGATCAAGGTAAGATACAGAGCAATAACAAGGCACAGGACAAAAATAGGATGGTAACTGTGGAGTGGCTGGAGCATAATGATGCCAGGTTTAGCAAGGTCTCTGATCAGCCCTTTATGCTCTGACAAGAGGGGAGCCTGGTGGCAGGGGCCATAACTAAAAAAACATTGCCAGTGCTTTGTTACTACTAGCTAAAGAGCAGCAATCTCTGTGGTATATGCTCCTAGGTGTCAGGTTTGAAAAGCCCTCATTGGCATTTAACTAATAGTAAAGAATGAATACTTAGCTTTAATCACGCATAGTTTTAATCCAAGCAGGAAAACGTGAATCGGTTTTGTACTAAGTCATGAGCATAAACTTCAAATGGATAAATGGGAACCAGTTAGTACAATTTATTTAGACTTCTACAGGGTCTTTGAGAAGTTCCTTCATTGGGGGCTTCTAAAGTTAGTGTTTGGTGTGGCTGAAAGGATCATAGCACCTCATCCGAGCAAAAGGCTCTAAGTAACTTCAGTGCCATCTCCTCTGACCATCTCCTGACCGTCTTTATAGCACAAACTGTTAGATTTCCCTCTCCAATCTTAGTGTGTGTTGGCGTGGGCACTTCCCCCTCTTCATCAGCCTAATCACATAATTAGCACTCCTTTGGAAAAGGAGTTGGGAAAGCACTGGGAGCATATCTGGCTGTGCAGCTCTTCTGGGGCTGGGTCAGCACGGTGGGGCAAAAGCAGAGTGAGTAAGACAGTATGAGTGAAGCAAATGTGTGGGAGGCAAACGGTGCGAAGTAGCTTTCACACGAGTAGAGCCCTGAAATGCTGCTTTTTCTGTCAGACACAATCAGGTATCTTCTCCCTGCTGCTGACTTTGGCTTAAGAGAGGAAACCAGTGAGAGGCCCCTCTCTAGAAGCATGTGAGACCTGAGGTGAGTGATCGAGGAAGGCTCAGAGGGGACCTTATCGCCCTCTACAGCTGCCTGACAGGAGGATGGAGTGAGATGGTGTCAGTCTGCTAAGGCAGAGAAGGGAAGAGCAGCAGGAATCTCAACAGCCTGTAGGAGACTGAGGTTAGTGTTTTCCCAGTATTGTATTTTACAAAAGTTCTTGAAACACAGAAAACCCGTTCAGTAGATAGATAACAGGGCAGCATCGGTGGTCACAGTATCTGGAAAGCTGTATCCTTAAACTCCTGGCCTTACGTGGTAATTTGCTGATTTTTGGTCAAAAGACTTGGTGTCTTCAGTGAGCAGAATGCTCCCACCTTCCATTTGCAAGGGGTGAGGAGGTGCCAGGACTTTCCAACAGGGTATGGAGCATCCAGTAGATCCACTAGATCAGGTGAGGTTTAGAGCACTCGGACCCAAAGGAGTAGTCTCCTTGTGCTCCCTCCCCATCCCAGCACGTGGGCACGCTCCCGGCTGACCTGTCAAGTGCGGATCCTGTTCGTGCTGCGAGGCAGTTGTTGCAGTTTGTGCTGCTTGGCTGAGGAAGGGCTCGGGATGAGCCGTGGAGCCATCTGCTCCTCCAGCTGACAGCCGCCTGTCAAGAGCAGCTTTGCCGGGAGAGAAGCATCTCACTGTCACTAAGGAAAGGTCAAGAAAGGGGGGGCTGCGAGGTTCCTCCCTACTTCCACCATCTTTAAATCAGTCTCTTCCTTGCATGTTCTCCTGTGGCTCAGGCTCTGTGTCCTGGCCTCTGGTCAGCATCTTGGGAGCAGGGAAACGGCTGCACTGAGCGCCTCACCTCTCACATGCTCTTGGTGGGAGAAGGAGGTGCTCAGGGTTTGAGTTCCTCGCTCTTCCCTTGCTCTGTTCATCTCTCGATGCTGCCTTCTCGAGCTGAAGAGTTCAAGAAATGGTTTGCCTTGAAGCGGGCTCTGGTGAGGGTTTGCAAATGGTCTTTAGGAGGGTTTGTTAGCAACTGCTGGACAAAGGCCTCTGCTTTTCACATTTGCAAAGGATAAGAAGCTTCAAGGTCTTTAAAGGGCAGGATTTGAATTAAAGATGTTGTCAACAAGTATGAAAAATGGCCCAGCAGATAGGAAATCCAAAGAAATTTGACTAGGACGAGATCAAGATCTTGGTCCTGGAATAACCAAATGCACAATATAAAGCAGTAAAAAATGCTGCTTAACAAACGAGATCTGCAAAGCCACATCACGGTGGTATTGTGGAGCCCGGATTAAACAGGAGTCCACAGCATGATGATACTGATAAAAGGAGAGATAATTCAGAGTTCTTTACCTTCCTAGGAGTGTAATCCTCAGGACTTTTGATGTAATCCATCCCATCAACTACAAACCGTCAGGCCTTGTCTGGCCTGGAGTATCCATCTAATGTGGGACACTGCATTCAGAGCAGCTGTGGGCCAGTCAGTCCAGAGGAGCCTGGAAAACAAGAGAGGGCACTGAAAGGGGGAAATCTTACTGGAGAGAGCAGGAACATCTGCTCTTTATGGGGGACAGGGTCCACAACGAGGAAATGAAGGTTCAAAACCAGGAGGAGTATCTTACTGGAGAGGGTATGAAGGCACAGGAACCAATTGCCCAGGGAGGTGAGGTTCAGTCCCAGGGAAGGCCACTCTTAGGTGCTCACCAAGCCACTGCCCTGCTGGGTTGCCTCATCAGTGTTTCCCAAGGGAATACCAGCTCATGTCGTTGGGGAACAGGGATTTTTAGCAGAACAGCTTTTTGTTGGCCAAATGAACCAGGATTCTTCCTTTAGTGTAGAAAGCGTTTGTGCTAAATGGGCAGTAATTTCACCAATTTTATGCTCCATTATCCCATAGAGCAGAAGAAAGCGAACAAGTACCTTAAGCAGATAGACATGAGATAACAGAATGATTTATTTTGAATGCAGAATTTATGTTCATCAAGGCCTGTGCTGTCATTTCCCTTCATATGCTGAGAATTGCAGCCAAACCAAGTACCATGGCTCAGCTCTGCTTTGTGCTCATTTAATTTGTTCGTAATTAATATGTCCTACATCCTGCAAACCCAAGCAATAGCATCTGAGAGCCTTTTTTCTCTCCCTCAGTAGTCAGTAAACAGGCATCTGGCTGAGATGAGCTTGGCATTGTTTAACCAATAGACAGTTGTGTTTTATGGGATTGTGGCACACTGGGCTAAATTCCAGTCCCACTGGAAATCCCTGGTCCTGCTCCAAGGAATCCAGGATATGGACAACAGAGACGTTGGGGCCCAGTGTTTTTATTCTCCCATATGGAGACAGGCTGAGAACATTGGGGCTGTTCAGCCTGGAGAAGAGAAGCTGCGTGGAGACCTCAGAGCAGCTTCCAGTGTCTGAAGGGGGCTACAGGGATGCTGGGGAGGGACTCTTCATCAGGGACTGCAGCCATAGGACAAGGGGTGATGGGTTCAGACTGAAACAGGGCAAGTTCAGGTCAGATCTAAGGCAGAAGCTCTTCCCTGTGAGGAGGGTGCTGAGGCGCTGGCACAGGGCGCCCGGAGAAGCTGTGGCTGCCCCATCCCTGGCAGTGTTCGAGGCCAGGCTGGACACAGGGGCTTGGAGCAAGCTGCTCTAGTGGAAGGTACCCCTGCCCGGAGCAGGGATCGGAACTGGATGAGCTTTAAGGTCCAAGCCAAACCACCCTGTGATTCTATGGTTTTGGTGGGTGGATCCATCCATGCCCTGTTGACAGCTCTTCACTGGTACAGGGGATGTTGCTTTAAGCTGTTGGCTGTTCTGGCGGGTGAAGTGTGGACTGAGGTGCTCCATGCCAGGCTGTGAGACAGGAGGATACAAAGGAGCAACTCAACATCTTGTAGCTAGCCTGCTAACTGATATATTAACTACAGATACTGAGTTTCCAAAACCTGTTTCTAAGGTGGCTGCATCTGCACTTGGTATTTCTATTGCACATGCAGTCCTTGTACCTGTTTATTTGGAGAGCTGGTTGGGGTTCCTTAACAGGCAGTGCTTGATTAGGAAATGATGAAGATGCTGTGCTTCCAACTTGAGCAATTTAGGATGAAGTTGCACAAATGTCCATTGGCCTGGCTTTGGCTGGGATAGTTTTCTGCCCAGTGGCTGGTGCACTGCTGTGGTTTTGGCTCTAGTCTGAGAATAACCCTGAGAACACACGGATGGTTTAGTTGTTGCTAAGTACTGCCTGGTCTAAATCAAGGGCTTTTCAGTCTCTCCTGCCAGTGAGGAGGGTTTATACTTTATTTTGTCTGTTTGAGGTGAGCATCCCCTTATAACCTATACTTCCCAAACAACCTTTCCAAATCCTTTTCCCTGGAGCACTTTACCAGGATCTCACTGGCAAAGTTGTTCTTCTGTTGGAGACAGGAGTTATCTCTTCTCCTTATAGAGTGCATCGTTATACTTGCTGTCCAGGCCAGTAATGTGCATTAATAGAGCAAGAGGCTCCTTCTCCCAGCGGCGTGGGGATAAGGAGCCGGAGCTGCCTCAGTCTCCCTGCTGCTGCTTCCCACGCTTCCCCAAGTGACAGAAACCTTTCATTACAAGGAACGCTGGATTCCAAAGCTTCCTGTTTGCATTCAGAGCCATTAATGAACCTATCCTGGTATTGGCAATGGAAATGGAAATCATCCCTTTCTCCAGAGGAAGGCCAAGGGAGAGGCAGGGATGTTTTGGATGTGCCACAGCTCCTCGTGCTTTCTGGGGTTCATGACTTTGGAGTGTGAACGTGGTGCTGGTTCCTTGCCAGCTAACTATTCTGTATGTTACAGGAACATATTTCTGTGAGGGCAGATGGTGTTCGCTTGATAGTCAGAATAATACATGAACAGCAGAGGAGATGTGGGTTGATTAAATAATTAGCATACTGTGACATTCTATTGCTTCACTGTAACTTAAAGCTGGGTCAAAATACGGGGCTGGATTACACCTCCCTCCCTCCCTCCTTCCTTTCTGTCTTCTGGTTGCTTTTATGTTCACTCCAAAGGGAAGTTCGAACGGGAATTCAATCCTCTCGGCCTGGCATGTTCTAGAATAAAAGTCATAATAGAAAGGAAATGAAATTTTGCTAAATGAATTGAAGTTGCCAGGCAACCCCTCGCACCCAGTGTAGCATCTACTCAAGCAGTTATTGCTGACTGCATGGCACGCATCAGGGTTGAGACCAAAACAGATGATCTCAGGAAGCCAGGGCAATGAGGACTAGCAGGACTGCAGGCTGGTTTTCGGTCACTGTGGCCATCTGAATAGCTCTTTGCCTTCGCAGCTTGTTTATGTGTCCACCAGCAACGTAATCAGTTCATCATATCGATTCCACTGCTTCCTGTCCCCCTGCTCTTGTGTTTTTCAATAACAGTAATTCCAGGCAGTTTGCTGTCAACCGAGGGAGAAACAGAGAAAACATGCTTCTCTCAGCAAGGATATCATTGTTCACTAACCAAATACAACCCAGCGGATTACTCATCCTCCTCTCCAAGACCTGTTATCTATTCTGGGGTTTAGGGGACTTTCTGGGAATAAAACCAAGAGAGTTGTCCCACTTAGAAATCATTATCTTGTAAAGCATCGGCGCTGATTAGAAAAAGAGCGTTGGCTGCTAGGTAAACACTGGCCAGGGTGTAGGGGAGAAGTTGCCATGGTACCTCGCAGGCTCAGTGTCTGAGGCTTCAGATGTGTTGTACCTCACTAGGAATGCAAAGGAAAGACATGAGAGAAGTTACCTGCTACTCTGTGTTAGTGCTCTCTCCAGTGCAGTCTTCCGGATGTCCCCAGTGCTGCCGCTCTAGTGTCTTACAGTGTCCAGGAAGAGTCCCACAAAGCTGGTAAATCCCATTTTCTTGTTTCGATATGAAATGAATGCTTCCCTGCTGCTGGCACTGCTGAAGGTGAGGATTGGAAGTTTATGTTTGGGAGCAGTCACGGCAAAATTGACGGGGGGAGGCAGCTCCTGGCCTCTGCTAAGGTAGCTGATGCTGGGAAGGAGGAGCAGTGATGCTTCTGGAGCAGCTCGAGAGGATGCATGTTCTCCCTGCTGCATTTGTCTAAAGCTAAAAGGGTGCTGAGGCGCTGGCACAGGGTGCCCAGAGAAGCTGTGGCTGCCCCATCCCTGGCAGTGTTCAAGGCCAGGTTAGACACAGGGGCTTGGAGCAACCTGCTCTAGTGGAAGGTGTCCCTGGCCTGGGACAGGGTTTGGAGCTGGAGGATCTTAAGGCCCATTTCAACCCAAACCGTTCTATACTTCTGTGATTTCAGAACTGGACCAGCTGAGTTACAGGATTCATTTTCTCCCTAGTGTAATGGAAGGAAGAAGTCAAACTGCATTCAGAATCCTCAGCAAGAACAGATACATCTTTTCATCTAGTTACTAACATCTACAGCTGTCATCAGAGGGGTTGTTTGAAAATACAGCAAGTTCTTCTTCCTTCTTGACCTCTGGAAGGCCCGAAAGTGCCAAGTATAAAGCATTCACTAGCTAGAAAACATTAAGAGAAACGGTCAGGTTCATACCAGGGTGCTTATTTGCAGATAGTGAAGAGGACAAGCTGTGAGTAAAAAGCAGATGATTTGTAAGAGTGCAGTTGGAAAAGTACGTTTATGGCACTAAGCTGTGATTCTGAAGGTCTGGGAGGGCTGTGGGTACTCAAATGCAGTTGAAAGTCAGTGGGAGCAGTGGCATGATCAGCATGCTACTGCAGCTGGGGATGCTCATTGCAGTTTGCATCAAAACCCTAACCAAGCAGACAGAATCACCTGCACAACGTTCTGACCAAGCTCCAGATGTAACTGACTCTGTGCCCTCATTCTCTTCATTTTGCTTCATCACTAACTACGTTCTTATAACCAAAGTGAGGGGTCATCACGTTAGTGGGATGTGAGGGTGGGTTAGGACTGAACGTCAGCACTTGGTTTGAGGGACCCCTGAGACATGCAGTAAAGCAGTTACTATATGTTATTCATACGTGTGGATCGCAGTCCACATAGGTAAAATGGCAGTGGCACAGAGGGGTTTGATCATGCACCACGTGTCATTCAGTAAACTTTGTCAGTTACGCTCCTTTAACCTGAAGGATTTAATCTGAGGAGAGACTCAAAGGGTGAGATTGATTAAAAAGCTCACAAAGAGACCATCACTGATACATCCCTAGTGATTCATGTCTGGTCTCCATTTTCTTCTGACTACTGATCTAGTAAACCTGATCTTGAGATTATTTCCCAGTGGCAAAAGTCCTGATTCAAAGAACCCATAAACCACCCCCTACCCGAGCTCACCCCTTTGCCTTATGACAAAAGCATCTTTTTGAGGCTTTTATGCCTCTTTCTCATGCTTCACACCAATTATAGTGAAAAAGAGTTTATTCTCCTTTATTATATCTGCATATAGTTTGGTTTTCCCCATTAGTGGCTGTTCAGCCACTGCAAGAGTTCCTTGTTTGATAACCTCTTTCTTCTTTCCATTAGCTGTTTGAATTCTGAAGCAGAGGTTGCTACCAGCTCTACCAGCAGTACCAATAAAACCTGCTAAAAACCCCAAGAGAATGTTTAAGGTTGCGTTCTGGATCTTAGCATCCATCTTCTGATGCTTTACTGAGAAGGTAAAAGATGTGCAGGAAGCATATGGCTGATGTACTGCTCTGCAAGATGCTGTGACTAGAAGTGCTGAAACACGAGACGCTGACTCAAAGGTGAATTTATATCTACCCCATTATATTTGCTTGGGTTGGTTCCAAATGATGGTGGAATGAATTTGAAAAGCTGCTTCTTCTATCTGCAGGAAAGCACAAAAGCATCCAAACCCCATCTTCAACTTCTTGCCTTCCTTTGGCGTTGCCAAATACTCATTTTCTCCACTTAGAAATAGGAAATTTCCTGGTGCTTTAATTTGTGCAGCACAGAACTCTTGCTATGCAGGGAAATACTCAGCTTCCTCTCTGAACTTGCCCATGGCTTTCATGAGAAGAGGAGCAGTCTGATTGCCCCTGTGCTCCCATCCTGCTGGACACCCCACTGGATAGCTATGGGAAGCTTCCAAATATAAACCTAACGCTCCCTAGCTGTTTGCCAGCAGTGGGCAGGTCTAGACTCCCTGAATAATTCAGAGAGGTTCTAAGTTACTCTCGTTGCAAATGGCCTTGAAAAGGAAAACAAGTGGTTGGTTTGGTGGGGCCCCAAAATGTCCCAGCTGCGTCCCTGAACGTGTCTCCCTTCCCTTCCTCTCTGATAGCAGGGGAACACAAGGCTTCCTTTGCACGTTTCTGCTCAATTTTGTGTTCTGTTAGCAAGGAGAGGTTTATTTCAGTCTACCAGAGGAGATCACTGATGCCCAGAGGAAGGGCACTCTCCTTTGAGGCTGTACTGGATTTATTGCATTAACCCTGTTTTCCTCTGGAAAACTTGCTTGAAGAAAGCCAGCAGCAGGTCAGGTCCCTCGTCACAGCTGTACTTGGGGTTTGCATTGCTCTGTCAAGCCTTTAGCCCTCCCATTTTCTGTTTGTGCGTTTAATTGCTCATGTGCTACACATGCAGTTTTGGACGTACAAATTGAGTTTAAAATGTCCAAGCCGGGTGTAATGATGAGATTATTACTGATACCATCAGTGCGGTCTTACTCAGTGTTGTACATTTATTGTCTGCAAGCAGGAAGCCCTTTTCCTACAGGAGCCTGAGGATTCATTTGGGGTTTTTAGACCCTGCGCGTGTGAGCTTGATACAAACGCTGTGCTGGTGCCAAACTGCTGCTTGTACTTGCAGAATGCGATTGAAGGAGACCCACTGAGGTTTTAGGGGTTGGCACCGTCTGAAGTGAAATTGTAGGTCAATCATATACTGCACCTATTTCACGGCAGCAGCTTCAAAATGAAGTAGATAGATAGCAGTAAAAGCTTTCAGTTAATAAATCCCCATCAATCAAACAAGTTGGCCTTGGTTTAGTTCTCGTCATGGTAATGAGTTATAAAAATTACTAATGACCAATCCTCTTGATTTTCGAACAGCTGAGAGAGCAAACACGGCTCCTGCATGAACGCCTCCCCTCCAAAACACCTGCAGCTTCCTGTGTTCTGCATGTTTGAAAACAACCAGGCTTCCCATCTCAGAGCAGGCTGATTCCCAAAGCATGGATTTCAACCACTAGTACCTGAAGGTGATGGAAAAAGCCCTCCATGTATGGGCAGGTTAGTGCGATACGAGTCTTTGGAAACAGGTATATTTGCAGGATGCTTTGGGATATTGAAAACTGATCCAGGTTTTTAAGACAATTGTCCCCCCAAACCAGTACTGGCTTATTATTTATGACTTGTTTATTTTTTGCTCTCTGCAAAGTATTTACTGAGGAGCTTTTCAGCCTGGGAGCGTTCTGTCATTAATGTTATCCTCAATGATAAGCTGTCACGAGGTACTGGAGTGAAAGACAACATAATAAACAGCCTGTGGCATGTGCTGGAGCACAGCCATCCGTTAATGGCTCCACATATGCAAACACCTTCAGTAACACTGGTGGTTTTATTACCTGGGAGGGGAGGGCAGGCACAAATGCTGATACAGATGTAAAGAAACAGGAAGCTAAGTGTCGTTAGTCACCAGTTCTTTCATAGGATAAAGCAGCAGTTTACTGGAGCCAACATCTCCTCAGGATCTCCCCTCCACTCATTCTTTAATTGATCAGTTCTCTCTATGTTTTTAATATGTAACTTGGATTAAGAACTCTAGGATAAGATGAAAAGGGGGAAAGTTGCGAGGAAAGAGAGGAATTTAGAGTGAAAAATCCTTATCTTGTGCATAAAGGGTATGATGCAGCTCTGGAGGAACGCATTCTCCGGTTTTCTGGTTTGTGCTTTAGGCTTCATGAGCTGCATGGTGTTTGGAGGCAGTGCATAATTGATAAGGTATAACAGTGACTCGATACATTTCTGGCACCCTTTGCATGCGGTTGGTAACTGAGCTAAAGTGTTTAGCCAAGAGGTGACAAGAGAATTAGTACCTGTCACCCTGAGCCCCACAAAGGCTGGCAATTACATTTCCGAATCTTATTTCCGCACGTCTGGGGAAGACTCAATCACTCCGAGCAGCACGCACACGAAAGAGCTTTCCAAAGAGACCTGTATATAAGTCCATCAAGCAATACCGTCTGCTCAAGCAGAAGATCAATTTCTAATTCAATACAAAGGCTTTATCTTAGATAAATACTTCAATTGCAATCATCCCAGCGCCTGGGAATGATCGGTGGCCTCTGGGAATCACACTGACCCTTTGGTTCCCTGTATTAAAAAGCGGCTTAAACCTGGGACAGTGCTTGCAACGAGTAACATGAAAGAAAGCTTTTTATACCAAAGTGTAGAGGAGGGTCAGATTCAGGGTTGAACGACTGCATTACCCGGGGGGAACTGTAGGGATCCTTTTGGTTATTTGGTGCAATTTAATTACAAGGCAGGCTGTGTAGAATAACATAGCAGAGCCTATCTTTTTTAACAACAAAATAGAAGTGGGCTTAAGATGTTTTCTGGGGGAGCTGTGTGTTGCAGGCTCTTTGCCATAGACCTGTGCTTAGCTCAGGAGGCCATATGCCTCCTGGAAGACAGAGAGCAGTGCTGCTTTTGGGGGGGATCCTCCTTTCATTTGCAAGAGTTGTCTTGTGTCTTGGCAGTGGCATTCTCTGTGGTACCCATCGAATGTGCTTCTCTGGCTTGTGTCTTCCTTTTGGAGTCTAAAGACAACATGAAGAGTGGAAATGAGAGGAGTAAATGGGAGTGGGGCTGGAAGTGGACACCTAGGCGTTAACAGCAGGAAAATGATGCACGTGAAGGACAAGTTAGGTTGAGGGAAGCCTTTGTTCCTGTCTCCAGAACAGTTTTCAGTGGCCATGGGGATAGGGAGAGGGCACCACTTCTGCCTGGGAATTCGAGAGTCTTGAAAAGGTTTGTGGGTGTATCTGGTGAAGCGAAGCTTAAGAGCATCAGTTTAAGTATGGCACAGCTTACTTGTGGTGTATGGAAATCTTTCTGACACATTACAGACACCGTCAACTTGTGTAGCAGAGTTAGCAATAAGAAGTTCATTATGGAAGTCCTGTTAGAAATGCTGCATGTTTTATTGTGGCTGTAGCCTTTGAGAGCACCAGCATTTTACTGGCAGCTTTCCATTAGGAAAATATTTACAATCTTAATTCTAATGCGATTAAGTGCTCTGCTTGGGAATTTTTATGGTCACTAATTAGGTTAATACTGATCATTAGCACACAAATATAATTAATTTCCCATAGTATTAAAATTAATCACATGCTTAAAGCTAGATTAAACCAGCCAACAGTGAGAAGGAACAATGGCCTGGTTTCTGATTTCACTGCCTCAAGGCTTCCCAAATAAAACCTTCACTTACATTACAGGGGTGGGCCACCTGTGTTTCAGTAACTATCCATCAGTAACAAACTAATTAGAGTGTAACGAAGAACCAGGATTTACAGTCCACAAGTTGTGAGGGAATTAGTTAATCTTTTGGGGGGATACAGGGAGAATTTGATTCAGCTTCTATGCTCTTGCTGCTTCTTTGCTGAACAGAGCTAAGCAAGGGAGTCTGAAGAGCAAATTCCTCCCCCCCCCCCCCCACCTGTGAAAAGATTATTCCAAAGAGGTCCTCTGGGTCTGTTTGCTTCCCCATGCCATTGGAGGGATAATAGCTATCAGGCCAAAGAGGATCAGCAAAGCTAAATATTTTTGCTTTAGGACAGTTTCTATCCTGATGCTTGCTGATCCTTCAGCTTATTAAGACTGGGAAAAGAGGCAAGAACTCAAAAGCCACAGCTTCCCTGGGTCTTCTCCCCTAGGAACCCACCCGAGAAAAGCTTTAGAGACCCTTCTTTGTATGTAAGCCTCTCCATGTGATTCTTTCCATTGGAGGTGCTGGAATCACTCCCTGGATTTAACAGAAAATGTAATTAGGGTTAACCTGAATTTAAATAATTGCTCAACTATTAAATAGCTATTAGCGTGCCCTATCATTTGCTATAAGACAAATGCAAATGTATGTCACTGCATCAGGCCAGGAGAACACAGACGCGGAGCTGATAATTGTTACTGTAGTTCCTCACCAGTGAGACCCGAGAGGTTTTTGTCCTTATATTACAAGCCCCTGTGTTTGTGGTAGTTTACTGCTGCTACTGGAGAGGCCAGGGTGGGTGTTGGCACAAATATAAAGGCATATTCAGTCTGCGTTTGCAGAACAGATTTACTTTCAGTGATGCAAAGTGGAATATGCCCAGAATCAAAGCTCTGAACATTTTCACATCGTTCTATAGTAACGATCCCATCCTGCTCCTATTAAAGATTCAACATTTTAATGAGCACTGAATGAACAAGAGCTTTTATCCTGGGCTCCAGAAGTGCACCACGGCCTGTAAGAATGCATGTCATTAAGAATAACTGCAATTAAATGTAGCATCATGTAAGTCTTTTGCAAATGGGCTGCTTGTGTAAGTACTTGGAAGTTCTAAGTTTGTTAACTTTGACCTCCCAAGGCTGTAAAAGGGCCCCTTATGCCAGGCATTGAAATTAACTGTAGAAAACTATAGAGCAGCTGAGTCAAAAGAAAGCAGTACCTAATGACGTAGTGAAATTCAGGAGGTAGGTCTAATCCAGGAGTATTTTTACATGGAGCAGGCCTTGGTTTCTGAGCACTGTCACCATATATCGAGAGTATGGTTTGATCTTTTTAAAATCACGTTGCTTTGAGGGCAGATGAAATTTCTTTTCTTGTCATTTATTCCCTCGGTGTCAAAGCAGGAACTGCAAACACTGGGCTAAAAGAAAAGTTATTTCATTTCCCTGCAGCTTCTGTAAATGCATTTGTGTCCTTTCTTGAACCTCTTTTCCGTAGCTCCTCAGAGCCAGTCCCTTCCATGAACAGCAGCTCACTGCTCTGAACTCTTCTGCCTACTACGGCAACAGGGCCTTAAAACAGAGTGGGAAGACTCTGGTACCTCCAGGCTGCCTGGTAGCAAATAAACGGAGTATTTCTCTCCATTCAGATCAACAGATTCTGTTCTCGCAGCTTAATTCTGTTCACCGCCCCGAGGAGCAAGGAGGGTGTTTAGCAGAGGCATCGTGTGTTGGTGATCAAACCACCCCCGATCCCTCCCCGGGTTGCATAAGTACTGCATGCACACAGCTGCAGCCTGCCGCGCGCAGGAGCTTCAGCAGCAGCAGCAGCAGCTTCCCTTCCCCGAGGGGGGATTTTGCCGGTGGAACAGCACTGGTACGGATTCAGCAGCCGCACGCCTCCTCTCGCTTCCCACGCACCCTTTTGTACGGTCGCCATGGAGCAGCGGGGCAGCGCCGCTTCGCAGGTCGCAGCCCGGTTAGCCTCTGCTGAGCACGCTTCCGAAGCGGCGTTCTCTCCCCGCCCGGAGACAGGCAGAACCTATTTCTTCGAGCAAAATGCAAGCCAGGTGGAGTAACGCGTCTGAAAGCTTCAAACTCAGATCCTTCGATTTTTCTTTTTTGGCTTTAGGATCGTAATTTATGCACATAGGAAAGGGAAATGGGGCTTTTTTTCTTTCTCTCCCGGTCTTTTTCCTCCCCAAAGCATCACAAAAACCCTTCATCTTTTCCAATAATATTTTTAAAAGGGGGATGGGGGGGGGGGGGGGGGGTGTTAACCCATGAAAAACCGTTCCAGCAATTTTATAACAAATCATGAGCTAATTTTTCCCCTTATCAGCTGTATAAGGACTATCTGCTTAAAAACTGTTGATTTGTCTAACGCAGCATGAGCAACGTGTGGTAGAGCTGGCAACAAAATCACAGCTCTGCAGTGCCTGCCTAGTTCTTCACTGAGAAAACTATTCTTTCTCTCCCTTCAGCTCCTCACCTATTAGAGTACACATCTTGCAGTCCTTCAAATAAAGGACATGAGTTTTACAGAGCAGGCGTGGTCCTGACTTAAGAACCCTGTTTAGGCTGTGCTCTGAATCAGAGAAAACTCCAGTGAAAACAAGCACATACTGGGAAAGCAAAGATCCATTCCCCACGTGTTTTGGTGCTTTTGATTCCCACAGATCAATAAACTTTTCCAATATAAACT